AATCCCGGTCTCTACCCAGCCTGAGGCGAGTCACGAGTGAGGCAGGACAAGAAGCCGGAGTCACGAGTCACAGGAAGTCGGAAGTGATGTCATGCTGGACAAGAATCAGAGTCCGAATAATATTTTTTCATATTCGGACTCGAGTCCGAATAGTCACTTCGAAAATTTAATTAACAATTCAGCCATCATTATTAAGTTATAGTTATACGGCTAGCCTGACAGTCTAGCCGTCCTTAAGTACGGCCAGTCTAGCCGTACTTTTAGGCCAGAAACCTGTTGAGTACACAGGTCTCATAGTAATTGTAATTATTCAGGTTTAAAATACATATATGCACTAAGGACTAATTAGGCACCTGGTTTCGTCTCAAATACAAATACTTTACTCTATGTACTGCAAACTAAAAATTTATTTACAATTCAGTAGGCCTATTTTTTATTGTTTGTCAGTGTAGCCTTCATATAAGTACGACTAGCCTAGCTGTCTAGTCGTCATTAAGTACGGCTAGCCTAGCAGTCTAGTCGTCATCAAGTACGGCTAGCCTAACAGTCTCGTTGTCATCAAGAACGGCTAAGTACGGCTAGCCTAGCAGTCTAGTCATCATCAAGTACGGCTAGCCTAGCAGTCTAGTCGTCATCAAGTATGGCTAAGTACGGCTAGCCAAGTAGTCTAGTCGTCATCAAGTACGGCTAGCCTAGCAGTCTAGTCATCATCAAGTATGGCTAAGTATGGCTAGCCTAGCAGTCTAGTCATCATCAAGTACGGCTAGCCTAGCAGTCTAGTCGTCATCAAGTACGGCTAGCCTCTTCCTTGAATTTATACAATGGCAACAGTAGACAAAATTTCACTTGATTTGACTTTATTTTTACTTCATTATAAAAGTACGCCAAAAGAAACAATTAAAGTCTGTACTCCATTTTCAGTATTTGACAATCATGATTTAAAAAAAAAAATTAAAAAGACGTGACATGCAATGAATGAAAGAGTATAAAAATGCCATTTTACATCATGAGCGTATATATATACCAATACATTTTTGGTAAGCTGAAGGATATATGGGACACATTTATTTGTTAACAAAATACCGTCTGATATTCATTGTAAATGTGATAATAAGGTCAAGATCACGGAAATTATTTTTTTCACCATCAGTTTGTGTAAAATATTCTTCATACTAACTGATAAGCTTTCCTACTAAAACCTACTAAAACTGACAAGCTTTCAGAAAATGTATATATAGATCTAGTTGTTATTAGTATTCTCTCTTGCCCTTTTTAACTCCCAGTGGAGCACAGGCCATCAACAACATTACTCCAGCGAAGCCTGTCCTGCGTATCCTTTTCTATCTGTTTCCATGATGTCCCCGCTTTTTCAATTTCCGCTTGTACCGCTGGCCTCCATGTCATCTTTAGATCTTTGGTCTTCCCTTCTTACGCTTTCCTTGTGGGTTCGACGTTAAAGCCTGCCTGATGATGTTATTAGTATAAGTACCTCATAATTTGCTGTCTTCTGTTATTTTTTTTTTTCTTCTTAATCTTATCCTTACTCAAAAACCTTCCAATTAGCCTTGACACCACAGCTCATTGTTATGGAAATAATTGTTTGAGGAAAATACAAAGATATCATAGGAAGTTGATTTCATTTTCTTCTTTTTCTCTCCCACTCTCTACATATGTGAGACAGCGTGATGAAATCAGGCGCTCGTCAAAATAAGGAAAGTGAAGAAACTGGCACTTTTCCACAGGAACTTATATCAAAATTTTATTTTTTGGCTCAACATCTTTCATGCCCTTTAGAGAACACATTTCTGTTTGGATTTTACTGAAAAATGTTGATGAAAGGCATAAAAGATGTACATTTTCTGTTTCCACGAACTCTCAAGCTAAGGAAATCACTCAACTTTGGCCGCCATTTTCTCGCTAATTTTATCTCTGAAACCAGGTTTCCCCACCTTCAATCGCAAATAGCATAGATCAACTTTTATTCTAGTTAGATGGATATTTTTTTCTTTGAAAGCAAGGCAAAAGAATAAACTTTCAGATGATATCAATAACTCCACATGCCCAAAAATTGACGAGCGCCTGATTCCACCACGCTATGACACACATATATAGCTGAGAAGAATATGAAATCATCTTCCTCTTGTAATATATGTGAGGCGTGCTGACAAAATGAGTTACTTCTCGCAATCCTCAAATGGGGATATTGGCCAAAAATCCACACTAGGGTCAAATTTGTAGATTTGTAATTGGTGCTGTATTATAATATTATATTCTTTATGTGTGTAACGTGTCTCTGATTATTTCATACTTATGAATTGTAGAAATTTCACCTGTAAGTATAAGGTATAAATAGGCGTGATGTATTTATTTTCATAGGGGTGAAGTGCGACAAGTAACTCATTTTATCAGCACACTTCACGTGTAGATCTATATCTATATATAGATCGAAATATGACGACATCATACGAGTTACAGTGAGTAGTGACACACATTTTGACTATATGTAAATGATCTTTTTAAAACATATGCAAAGGGAAAGAGAATACTGCTCATTAATAATGGGGCCAGAACCTTTTGCTTATTTATGGTTAGCTGAAAAAGACCAACTTGATACAAATTATAAGACTACTGGAAAAGGTTTGGTAAAAATCGGTTGTTTTTAAGTTGGAAAAGCTATACCGGTAAAAAAAATAATTATAATATCAATGATAGCAGAGGTAAGGGGAAGAAAATTGCCAAATCTCAATGCCGATATATAATTATTTATACAGAATTCTACATAAGTTAAGGACCACCTTGACAGACAGCCCTGATCTTTAACTAATTCCGAAAACCCCCCCAGCTAGGAATCTTTCATAATGTGTTGCTCTGAAAGAGTTAATGGGTTACCAATGCACACTACCAAGCTTCCTGAAGGGGCAAAATCACCACATGCGGCACGGAAATCCTCGGGGAACTTTAGCTAAATTTCTTTTTTTAAAAATCAACTTGTGTGCTACACCACGGACATTTCTCTGTTAAAATTTCTGGTGCGCGTCATAAACGGACGTACGGGCTGGAACTGTGCTCACTTTGGTGGCAATATAAGCCGCCGTTTGCGCAAAATCCAGTATCGCATCAACATGCCACCAAGATGAAAGCTGAGAGACTTTGATTGTGCCAGAGGTATGGCATGGCTGCAGGATGGAGTTTGAGCCTGAGGAGAAGTTTTTTTTACCAGAAGTAGAAGACTTGCAGTGTCCCACTCTGTCATTGTCCACTTGAGGCAGCGCCATCAAGCCACTGGATCAGTCCAAGAATGCCCACGTGCGGATTGACCCAATAAGAATAAGACCACTCAGAGTGTTTGCAAGTGGTCCTTAACTTATGTTGAAGTCTGTTGCCTACATATAATATATATATTTATATAGCCTACTCGCTGTAAAACATGAACCCAACAGGAATGATGGCGTGGCATAGGGGGCATAATTAGTGAAAAGGTTTGATCCAATTGATCAATTTATGATCTCCCTTCATGTATATTATTTTAATAT